AAGAATATGAAAAAAAAAACCCAAAAAAAAATGCAATTGTAAAAGGAGTTTTAATTACTCAAGGATGCATTCCGGAAAACAGACAAATCACTACATGTGGATACATGTTATAGAAGCGGGCACAGTGTAGCTTCCATAATCATTTTTAGCATATGTCAAATACAGAAGGGGAACTATTGGTATATAAAATGATATCACTTATTCTTTTTCAATTAAAACCCTGTTTTACGTCGTTATTATTTTTAAACTCATTAGCACAAAAGCAGGGGTAAACACATTTTGTTTCCACAAGTGGAGAATCACATGTCAAATGCCTTACTTTCGGCGTCATAACAGATGAGCATTTTTATCAGAAACCTAATAAACGAAACAAAACCCAAAGAAAACATATTTTCCTTAGTTCACTTTGTGCGGTCAATGTTATTTGAAATTCTTTGTCTTTTTTTTCGTTTGTGCTGCTTTTGGGCCTATAAATGTATAGCTGAAAGGTTTATATTTAGGACACAACCCCAAATCACATTGTCTTTTGTTTTAAGGTATTTCAAAGAGATCTAGTTCAACAGTGTTCAACAACAGTGTTCAACTGTGGACAACAATCAATTGAATGGATTTATAATGTAGAATGAATTAAAAAAAATAAAACAGAATAAAATTTAATTTGTTTTTTCTGATCCCATCCAACACACACCCCCCAAGCCAAAGTTTAAAAAAAAAAATACAGCACATGATTTCTTCCAATGTATATTTACTTCAATCAAAAATTTCATAATCGATATATTATGTTTATCAAAAACTAATACAAAAAGCAGTCCTCAATCTGGAATAGTTTTGAAGGTGGATACTCAAAATTTATGTACTTTTTTTTAATTCAAAATTTAAAAAAAAAAATTCAAATTTCTTTTTTTCCCAATATATAAAAAAAAACATTCAATGATTTTTTTCCATGTATTGTTTTAATTTTTATTGCAAAAATAAAAGATATCAAAAACAGGTTATCTTTACCATGATTTGCACTTTTGGATGTGAATATAAAGGTTGAATCTACTAAACCTTTTATGAGAGAAAAAAATTTTTTTTAAAAAAAAAAAATTATTTTAAAAAACCCCCAAATTTATATACAGTCATTTTTATGCCAAATAAATAAATTTCGAAATTCTATTAATGGAAAGGGTTTTGCAAATACTTCTTTGCAATTTTTTGATTGCAATATTTATCAATTTTCAAATACTGGTATGAATTAAAAGCAGAGATGAATATACAGCTATAGGACGTGATAAGAGGATCGAATGTCACTAATTGCACGTAAGATCAAATGAAAATTCTCCAGAGCAAGATTAACTTTACAGATGACTAAAGTCATTATTAGCGGCTATGCTTTAATGTCTACAGTACTTTTTATGCATAATAAATCAATAGAAAAGTTGAATTTTACATTTTTGATTTGTCCATTGAGGATAAAAACAATTGTTTACCCTATTCTTCCTCTAAAATTAACACCCCCTATTTTTGCTCAAGGAAATGCAAATCGATATGTTTGTATGAACAAAAACCATAATTATTAGACAATAAACTCTCATCTGTATGTTTCGAAATTTTTTAATTCCCATAATAATTTAAATACTGCTGTTTTGTTAAATAAAAACATTGTCGTTAATAATAACAAATGTTTCATAACATGCATCTCTAAGGAAATTTAATGGGGCTGGCTCTAATACATGTAGGATATATTGATAAGAGTGGGGTATATATTTTCATACCCTGGCTGATGATTAATTGCACATTGAAAAAAATATTTTTTTGGAGAAATTCTATGCAGCGTTTGTACTTTTTATTATAAGTCAACAAGTTGACAAAATGGGGAATTTAAAACATGACTGGTTGACAGGTCGACAGGCTGACAAAATTCTCCGTATGCTTGTAATATACACACGTATTCAGGAAAACGGGTGGCGGTTTTTGGTCGACAGGTCGACAGGTGGACAGGTCGTGAGTTAAAAAAATGACTGGTTTACAGGTCGGCATGTTGACAGGTAGTTTGCTTAAAAATTCACATGTATTAGGGAGCTAAGTGGGTTGAGGGGTTTGGGCAGGTCGACGTGTAAACAAATTGACAGGTAGAGTGAAAAGGATTTTCCCACTAATACATCTGTTGACCTGTCACGTTGGTGATGACACTGTCATCCATTAAAGGGAAACACACGTCTAGTGAAATATTAGTAATAAGGCAAAACCTTTACTTTTTTTTTTTTTTATCAAAGGGGATTTTTCCTTTATTATAAATTTGGAAGAGGTTACTCGGTTTTAAAATTATTTTCCGTTTACCCTAGCAATGCTTTGATCATATAAAATAACTATATAACAGCAATTTTTTGAGGAAAAATTTTTGCGAAACTTTACGATTAAGGCCCCCCCTACTTTTTCGAGTCATTTCTATATTTTAATAGAAACAAAAATACAACGTCCTATTTATAAAGCCAAACGGTGATCATATATTTCATATGATTTATAAACTTTACAGACAAATCAGTTAAATGATTTTTTAAAATAATGAAAGCCCCTGCAGTCATGTGATTGACAGCATGCAAGTCTTTTTATTTGAATATATTCATATTGTGTCCAATTTCCCTTTTTTTATTTTTTGGTAACTTAAAACTCTTAAAGCAAAATTGTTAATTGAAAATAAATGTTAAAGGATGCAAAAAAGGATTAAAACTACAACTACATGTAGTTCAAAGTACTCAATTAACTTGCAAGTGCATAAACATTATGTACTTGAAATTTGATAATAATCTGAAGTAGTTGAAAAAAGCACCTTATTTCTTAAACTCCTATTGAGAATTCTTAATTCATATAGAAACATCAACTAATACCCTGGAATGACTTAGTCTATGTTTGCCCTTTTTGTGCAATGAGGACCATTTAAACGGTGATGGTATTTTTTCAAACCAACGCCTACCACGCAGGGTACAGCGAATTTAATGTTTCATACGAAAGAGCAGCGACTTCAACTAAAATTATGTGTGCTTGGCAAAAGAGTTGTCAATACTTATACTTATGTAAAAGATTTAAGTTTGACGTGGTGCCGAAGACGAGAGTTTAACCCGGACATACCAATCAAAAAACTGAATACTCTAGAAATAATCACTAAGAATTACTTTATTAAGTTTAAAGCATCAGGAAATACGAGACAGTGAATTATTTCCATGTAGAATAATACATACTCTTTTCCATATCAAATTCTGTATCATCCTTAGACCCCAATATCGGCGGAGAGCCTAGGGCTGATTTTGGTAGTGTGTCGATACAGAATATGTTTATTACATACTTAGTAATAAAATACACTGCGAGTTCATTAAGCTGAAAAGGAAATAAGTGAATAATCATGCACGAACTTCTTACATATACACGCTCTGTTGACTCACAGGATTCAGATGTGTTTCTACTTCTATTTGAAATGCAAAATCAGTTAGATTCTCCTTACATTCAAAAAAGTTAAAATTAAGAGAATTTACACCCCCCCCCCCCCCCCCCCCAAAAAAAAATATGTGTATGATCACAGGTACTGTTTTTTGAGGTTTAAATTGCTAGGGGTGAGATTCTGATCCGCATCAGCCCCGCAAATCCAAATCAGCCCTATAGGACTGATAATGCTATTTTGACGTCAGACATATCGCATATGCAAAAAAACCTGTATTTTTTTTTCTAAGTATGTAATAAAGTAAAGTAATTGAAACGTGTTTTTTTTTATATCCAATGTTAACCATGTTTTCATTTTTTACTTTATTTATAAACGCATGATTCATGATACAATTTAAAAAGAATGCTTTTGAAAGATTTGTAATCTTTTGTCATAATTTCTTTTTCAATGCTTAATTATTTACATCTTTGTCAGACAATATAAGCTCGATATTTTACAATTAACACCATTTTATTCAAGATTATAAGTTCCTTTGTATATGCACTTACTCGATGAAATTGGTTGCACATGCTTGCATCTATGCTATTTGTTATTTAATCTGATGTTTCATTATATTTAACATCTATTTTAACATTAACTTGCGACTATTGGAACACTTTTAGAATAAGCATAACCTTATTTCATTCTTGTTAACAAATTAACAATGTTTGGACTAAACATTCTCACATTTATTTCTACAGTATATTATACCGTGTCGGGAGAAATTAACAATGTATCTAACATAAAAGTGACTGCTTCGGGCAAATGTATGACTTCTAGCAAAGTCATCAATGTTTTACCTATCATTGGACAAAAGCAGTGCATTCGAAAATGTTTGCAGAATCACCAATGCAAGTCAGTGAACTATCGAAAACAACAGCTCAATTGTGAACTGATAGCAGCAAAATACGGGGAATCGGGAACGTCTCTAGTTCTGGATTCAGAGTGTGACTACATTGAAATGGAAAATCAGCCACAGGTAAGTAATATCTCGACGTTTCTAAACACTGTATACTGTGTTGTTTATCATTAAATAAAAGACAAAAGATGAGAATGTCAGGAACCCTCCTTGTGCTAAAATAGCAGCAATTTAACAAAGTTAGTCAATCAGGATATAGATTAGGGAACAAGCACAATTAAAATCCCGAACTAAAACTGTATGTTTTTTTTTATTCCTTTAGGTCAATAAAACACTTTGTATTTTCTCAATGAAATTTGAAAACGCATCATAAAGACTTAGAAGATATTATATTGATTTTAATCTGCTCTGAAAATGAGTACCATTATTTAAGTATTTTATGCAAGTATTTTACAACACTTAACATAAACATAATGAATGCTTCGTATGTGATAAAAGTTTCAGTTTTTTGTTTATATTGCTGTCTTATTTTCCGGCACGGTGTGTTTTGTTATAGGGACGATTTTCAAATATTTGGCACATCACGTACATGTACAATGTATTACTGTTCGTTATCTCCATATCCTTCATGTAAAGATTTCTTACCTTAATTAAGACAATTGAAATACAAACCTCAGTATTAAAAAATCTTAAATGTCATTTATTTGTTTACTTGTCTAATTTAAAATACTTAATTGCCCAACTAAAGCTCAGGTGATATTTTCAGACCGAAGGATCTCTAACACCTCTCGTCTGTGTGTCTCCTTTTACCTTTTGCCCTTTCAACTTTTTTATAGGTTATTACAGAAAAAAATCATACAAAGCATACTGTGTTGAACAAAATATGTTGTTCACAGCATTTGTTACAAAAATACACAGTAAACACTTCTCTTTGAAGTATTTCAACACTTTCTTCATAATTCAAGCAAGAGGTCAAGGTCATGATCAATGAGCCTGACGAAGGATGGCTCACAAGAGGGATTAACATATATGTTTATCATAAGAATACTAGTTTACCAAAAAAATCTTGTTGTTGAAGAACGCCTCTGATTTGTTTTATGATAAAGCAAGAATCTTTAAATTACCTTAAACAAATTTAGCTGCAAAAAATTGAAACAATACTCAGGCTTTTTCCAAACATTCAAAGATCAGATTTTATCTTTGCAATATTTAGAAAAACGACTTTTTTTATCCCATGACCCTGAATAGGCAAAGGTACATGTAGCTTAAAGACGCTGAGACAAATAGGTTTATCTTTTTTACAGGAGCTGGCTGGATCTTGTAATGCACCATCATGTAAAGAGGAGTGCGTGGCTCTGAGTAGAGGAAAACCGTTCTGCATAAATGGCAGTAAGTAATAAATGAATAGTTTAACTGTAAAACGAATCCCATCAAAGAACAAGGTACACTTGTAGGCTTTATGGCCTTGTGAATTTCTGAAAAACTGAGACTGCCTCATTTTAGTTACATGTAACAATGCTTTGAATATCATAGAGACCCTTGTCGATAGCAGGTCTATCAATATTGACATAATTTTCTTCTAGTCAATGCATTATGACGTCAAGGAATGCGTCAATTTCCTCAAATTTAAAAAAAAAAAGTCTACAAAAACAGCCACTTTTTAATGCTATTTTTCAGTATTTATTATAGAGCGCAACCTCTGATCTAAAGTAAACGACAAATAAATCATAGAACTATTTCTGAAAATTGCATGAAATCATTTTTGTAGATCAGAGGGTCTGCTTATACTATTTTTCTTCTCTAAAAGTACTAAAATATACCTATTTACATTAAAATTCAAGAATATGGCAATATCATAAAGTCCGCGTTCCAAGCCCTGGAGATTAAGGAGAAAAAAATTAATAGGAAATGGAAATACTACGTCTTTACTTTATTTTGATCTTTAAAATGGAAAATAAAGTCAGTAAATTGGTATATCTACAGGCCCATTTTATGTAAAAAGTGAACCGAGCTCTGTTAAAAGCTTCTTAGAAAACGAATTCAACCGTATTTTGTCTTAATCTTCAGCAAAAACTTTTACTGATTATTTCGGATGAAAGTAAAGTGTTATCAGTAAAATTAACTACAAAAATCTTGATTAAATATTAAAATTTATTGCTTGTTGTTGTAAAATAAAACAATATAAACGCTTGCCTTACTAAAACAATATAATGGAGATTAATTGAAGATATTTAGTACCTTCCCATCTCATTTTCACAAATTCAATAAATAAATAAATAAAGAATTATACGTCAATTCGAATTTGAAAATGTGTTTCCAATAGTGCATTTTTTAGTTCTTTATGTAAAACAAAAAACTTTTTAGAAGAAATATGAATCTAAAAAAAATGTATATTTTTGTTGAAAATAAATTACAATATGTTTAGTTACACACATCCAATATTTCAATTGCATTTGCCTAAATTTGTATTACGTACGTTTCTGCATTGGGTACTGTATGAGTGTTTAATGAATGACCAAGAAGTGAAAATGGATGATTTTTTTTCTCTTGTATCCTAGGTAGTATTAAAAAAAATGAATATCGAATACTGTTCCATTTATGTTACTATATTGCAGAATGTCCTACATTATGGCAGATAAACGGGGAGAAGAAATATTGTTTCCTAAACAATTCTCTTAAGTGGCAGGCTGCCAAGGTATGTCATTAAAGGTGGCAGTAGAGTTGTGATTTTCTTTGACTAGTTATCCAAAACTAACAAAAAAAGTAAGAGTTCCGATAGATTTATAATTAAAATACATTAATTCAATCTGTGAAGTGCCATGTTTTTTTTTTTTACATTATTATATCATATTTCTACATATGCCTGTGAAGCCTGTGAAGGGCTTCAAAGAAAGACCTCTTTTCGGCACTCTGATCATTGGAAAGTAATAAATTGATCATAACAGCGTCTGCAGTGACACGGACTTCGGTTTTTATGGTCTCAATTTAAAGAATAACAAAGCACTTAGCAAAGGTTCAGTTGCTGACTTTTTAAATAAATTTAGGATTGTCGCAGCCGATGCTTGAACCCACTTATTTCTAATCATGGATCAATCACTCTACCCAAGGAGTTACATGAAAGCTTTAAAAAAGTATATAGAATATTTTCATCAAATACTCTGGCAGGATATTGAAGTGTTTCACTATAAAATGATATAAAGATAAAATAAAAAATGCTAGTCAATAAACATATTCATTTTTATATAAATGTTATCTCTCTGGTCATAACTGGCAACTCATACAGTGTATCTCTGAAACAAAATAATTCTGTTGCCTACAAGTTATAAACATTTTACAACATTTACATAGAGTTTCCAAGGAGGTGCCAAATTTTCTTCATCTTTGCTTGGTCGATATCTGATACGGGCGTGCTCTGTTTGTCACCTCATAAAATCATTACAAACAACGATACATTAAGAAGTGGTGTGAATCAGATGTGGATAATCAAAAATTCCAAAGAACTTTTAGACAATTTGAAATCACAAGACATTACCAAAGTCAACAGCTTAAAAACTTACGACTTTTCAACTTTATACACAACCATTTTCAAAGATATAATAAAGTCCAGGGTTTTTTAAATCATTGACAGCTGCTTTAAAAAAATGAAACTTCTAAATAAACGTACCTAGTATTGGTCATTTTTAAAATGATTTTGTTAAAACACTTTCTGATTGCACACACAGGTACTCTAAAGTTGACATCAAGATGCTTGAAAGTCTGATCGACAATATCTTTGTGGTTTTTTGTGGAGTAGGTCTTTAAAAAATCTATTGGAATTTCATGGAAAAAAATTATGAACTGAAATTTTTCAAAATGAAGGAAATAACTTAACAAGTTAGTTCAAAGATTTGATATAAGATGCTTAAAGGTGGTTTTATGAGGTTTGACCATCAAGTCAACATTAAGCTCAGCTTAAAGGTGGCTTAATGGTAGCTTAATGAAGTTCGGACATTAAGCACCTATAAGTTGAAGGTTGATGGTGGCTTAATGTTGGCTTAAAAGAATTAACTTCTTTAAGCACCATTAAGTGTCAGCATTAAGCTTCCATTAAGCGATTGCTTAAAGGTGATCTTTCGTCCTGTGTGAACAAAACAGAGAAAGGCCTAATCTAAATAAATGTCAATATCAATTTACGATGTCTGATTCAAAATGCTGCATTTCATAAGAAAAAAAAAGTTTTTTTTTCTCTGATTAAATTATATAAGGTACACAAATAGTGTGATTTAACAAAAACAATTTCAAGTAATGGTGCCAGATGTCCTGAATTTCTCTTGTACAGTTAAACATTTTAAAGTTTTCCGCAATAAATATAATAATAGATGTTCACGATTTTCACACATGAATATGGTATCATATAAATACACACAAAATATTTCTCCATTTTATTGTAGCGACCTTATCTGGCTGTATTTTTTTTTAAGTCAATAGCAATAAATTGATAAGATTTAATGAAATTGTACGATTGTTGTTTTTGAGGTCAAATATGAAATTGCAAAGTTGAAAGCATGATTTACACAAAATGCAAATAATCTAAGTTTGAGATAATGTATATCAATTCAAAATTTTCTCGGAAATCAGAATTCTGTTTAAACTTTCTAGTGAACATATGTATCTTTAACCTTATTCCCTTAGGCTAGCTGCATTTGGCTGGAAGCACATCTTCTTGAAATAGAGAGTGAGGCTGAACAAAACTTGATTCAAAACAAAGGTATGTTTTTGTGTTTTCTTTCTGTAATTTGAGGATTTTTTGTGTTTTCTTTTTCTGTAATTTAATGACTGAAAAATAATCCAATAATGTTTTTTACGACAAAATGTAGAAGGATTATCATAAATATTTTTTCTAATTTAAAAACCTACGTTAATTTTGGACAAAAGTAAAAAGGTAGTATGATTTTATGGAAATTTAACATAGCATGGGCGTATATATGTCGATTTTATCTAATTATATATAGCAGGTAGTTTAAACATTGGTCGGACTGAGTACATCTTGAACTAGTCAGTTTCAGGTATTTCTTTCTAATCCAAGAAATGTAAACTAGATAATAAAAAATTTATTAGAGAAAGAAAATAAAGAAAAATTATAAATGAAATTTACATGTCTTGAGTTCAGTGTACCAACTTAAACTGGTTGATGATGTATTTCATTCGATGGACTTTTTCTCGTCCCACAGTGGGATTCGAAAACTCGACGTAAAGATAAACTCCTTAGCTGGTTCGCGAATAAAATTGACATTTTAACCACTGCGCCCTGTAGGAGTCTCATGGGAGGCTGGGAATACCTTGAGAATAATAATTTTTTTTCACACAGTATATTTGTATATTTTTGCAGAATATTATTTCTGTATTTCGGAATGTTTTGGCGGGGGATTTACTCTTTATAGTAACATTTTTGATTTCGGTCTCATTTGAGTAACCAACAGATCCGGGATTAGGGGGAAAATGTGAACTATTTTTAATAAGTGAAAAAAAAATCAAATTCAAATTATGCGCTGGACTACTTGAAGTATTAAAAATTTCAAAAAATAACTTTGTTTGACCATTTCCTAAATGTATATTCAATTATTTTCCGAATATCAACATATTTAACTACATGCATTTTCTTTATTTCTCAACGAAGCACACACGTTTAACTCCATATATTATATCCATATTTTATAAAATTTTAGCCTCTGGGGACAGATGGTGGATTGGGGGAACAGACGAGGAGTAGAGGGCACGTTCATCTGGGTACATTCTAACACAACATTGAATTACACAAATTGGCTCCAAGGTGAACCTAGTAACGGGGATACAGGTGAAAATTGCCTCGAAATGCTTACTGAAGGTGTTTGGAATGACAAAAACTGTGATTCATCTACTTACTATATTTGTGAAAAAAAGACTTTTCAATGAATGTTATGCATGTAAATACAGGGGCACTTACTAGAATTTCTTCTTTAAGGGATATGTTTCATTTTTAATTAATATAACTGATTACATCTTTATGATACTTTTTGAAATTAAATTGAAATAAAAAAAAAATAATATACTGAGCAAAATAAGTTTAGCAATTGATTCTCCATAGGTATTTTAAAAATATTTTTCGAAATTGTTTTATTTTGTTTCTACTTAAAATCAGTATAGAAAAAGGTCACAAAACACGCACCTATTTTTTAACTTGACGTTCGAAACCGCGTCCTCCAACCTACAACCTTATATGGAGCATGAAACGCCGTTGTGTTGTTGTAATTTAATAATGATCCCCATGTGTTGGCTTTGTCATCATAGTCAGGTGAGGTGAAATGCCCTCTAGTCGCCGGTGTGAGGTAGCAGTAGGGCGTCAGCTATAAAGTCGTGGGGTAAGAAGTTGATCCTTGCTTCGATTTTGAAACTTACTGTGAAATAGGGATGTCATTTAAATTGAGATCCTATATCATAGTATACATTGGCATGAAAAAGATTTCTCACTGATTAAAAGCTTTGAGGCCCGCTTAAAAGTTTGAATTTGAAACCTTCATATAATGACGTCTCTTTATCATTACAAAAATATCAAATAATACGTAAATTTTATATAAATATATAAATGATAAGCGAAATGAAATAAATCATGGCAGTAAACGTTAAACAAAATTGTATACCATAAAAATTTACAATACATCAACATGTCTGTTGATGAGCACAATCGTTTGATTTTAATGTCTCTCCAAGTTTATTAATGCTCGAATATTCCGTCTCTTCCTTTCATCTTGGTATTCAAGGTATGTACTGGCTCTCAATTAGGTCCATCAGAAACATATTTTAAAAATAATTGTTTGTACAAAATATTATCCAAAATAAATTTTAGATATTCAGTGTCTCTGTTTCTTCGAGTTTTGATACAAATATTGACTTAAAGTTTGAATTTAGCGAATGCAAATTGTTAAAGAATGTTTTCATGTATCTGTAATCAATTCCCGAGCATGGCGAAGTTGCTATCAGCATTTTTAAAACACCGTATAAAAATTTTGCAATGTATTGTTTTCATAAATATTTCTCTTTTTAACCATATCACGTAACAAACAGACTGATGTAAATAATTGTTTACAAGAATGATAAAAAATGAATGTGTACTGTTAAATATATATGCATTGTCAATATATATATATAAATACAAGTTAATGCCAGTAAAAAAGATTCAAACATTATATTAATTTTACACATCAAAATATTTTAAGGCATTTTTATTATATAATCTTTTTTTTGGTGAGGAAAGTAATTTAGCAATTATATATTTGTTAATCAATTGATTTTTCAAAGCATTTAACTTCATTATCAGTAGCCATGTGTTATTTTTTAATACATGAATAACTTTGTTTTAAAGATCTTTATTTCTCTATATTTTTAACTCTCCGTGAATTTTCGGATTTAGAGAAACTGGTTTTTCATGCACGAGCGCTTAAGCGCTCACTATATATACTTTTATCCATTTAATTTTCTTTTAATGCGATTTTGTTACAAAGAAAAAAAGGTTGTTTTGCGTCAAAATGGCTTTCCCTCTTCAAAAGACTTGTTTTGTTTCTTTTGAAAAATGTAGGCATATGAATTGTATTATTTGCAAAAAAAACGATTTTTAAGGAACACAACAATCCTTCAGCATCTTCTTTTTGTTTGATTTCAATAAATTATTCAAGAAAATATTTGTTTTCGAAGGAGTGAAACAAGGGAGAAATAAGTACACAGTACACCAATTTTTTTGAATTTTTGCAATAAAGATTTCAAATATTCTTTTGGCATATGGATAATTTTTAATGCATCAGTTTTAACACTTTTTGATTTGGTGCAAATTACAGATGAAAAGAAAGGGTGGGCATTCATTTATGTTCAATTTTGGCTGTTGATTTAAATGTTGTAAAAATTAACCTGCAAAGATTTTTTATGAAGTTTGCTTATTTATTTACCTGTCTGAATAAATAGGTGAGGTTTCACTAAAACACCATATGTGCATATGGATTTTGTAGAAAATATAGGCTAAATTTTAACATTATGAAGCAACTATTTATTATTACTTTATTCAATACCATTTCTTTTGTATATTCCGAAAGCATTTATTATTTGTATATACATGTATATGTAGTACTTGTAATGTTTTGCAATATTAATCATTATAATCATTTTAATTTTGTGATAGATATCAAAATCTGTGCCTTTTCATGAACATCTTTACTTTTTTAAAACACAGCTTTATTTATTTTATTTCATTTTACTTGGAATATGTAAATTAAGTGTTTTTGACGATTGACAAAGTTCTATAAAAAGTAAAGATTATATTTAGCAGATATCCATTAGAATGCAACTAAGATGGCAATCTTCTAACGGAAATTGATCATTTTCCTCCTCTTTCATATTGTGAATGTATCCTGTTACCGTTAAAGATGGTCACCACTATTGTGTTAAAAGTTCTTTCACCTGTAAGGTTACAAGAGAGTAATCTCTTGCCCCTTTTCGATCTAGAGTACATACTAGGTAATTTCCACGTCTTATATAAAAATTACAGTATTAATCCTGAGTACATCAATTCTTACTTACAGGAAACATCTATGTATTTCAACAGCCAAATGTACTTTCCCGACCTAATTGAGAATTTTAACAAAATGATATTTTATCTCTGTTAAATTCTAGGAAGAGAGTATTCAATGAAGATATAAATTTTTTCCCAAGATTATTACATTGTTTAAATGTTTAAATTGGGAACAGTTTTATCAGAAGGAATAATGGTTACTTGTTTATTGCTGAACAGAAAAATGCTTGTTGCCAATTGTTTTGAATTTCCCAGATATTTTTATTAATTAAAATCAATGTACCAAAAATACAATATATTGCAATAAAAAATTTTAAATTATTTTTTTTAGCAAAACTTCATTAATGACGTATATTTATTTGTCCCATATTTTATTATAATTTATTGAAGTATTCACTAATATTTCACAAGGCTATTTCATTTTTCAAAAATAGGGGAAAACATTCAAAGAATCATCAAGCTTTTTTTTTACTTGTGAGATGATATAACCTCTCCTCCTAATAAAAAATTTGTTTACATCATCACTCCGTAAAACAAATTCAAAATTCCTGGATGTCATTTCTTATCATTCCAATTTTGTACACAAACAGTGATTCCCGCGCTATTTTATTCCTCTAATTTTATAAACTGTAAACCTGTTTGAAGTAAAAGGTTTGTTTTCACTATCAGATGATATATATGTACGCTCTTTGCACCAAAAAATAGACAGATGCCATCAATTTTTACATCAAGGAGTACGTAGTTAGTTTTACTTTAATCGATGGTCTTCTTTTGTATAAGTTCAGAACATTTCTCTGTTATGTATAAAGTGAACGATATTTTTAATCGTTTACCAAACATGCCACACGTATTTTGCATTCATTAAACATATCGAAATACATGGCATTCGTTTATTGTAAATATTTATATGAATTACCGCAGTTCTGTTCGAATTACAATAGATACTTTACGGGAACTTATGGGAACTTCGTGGCCTTTCTTTCTCATCTAGTGTGCATTGGTTACTGATGTATTTCATTTTCTTTCTTGTTGTGCAACATAATCCTGGTTCCGTTCAAGATGGTTATCATAATCCTGTTTCCGTTCAAGATGGTCATACTTGACACTGCTGTGTTCAAGGTTAATCCATGTGTCAATCGTCATACGAGGGTAACCTATGGTATATTCTTCCTTACACATGTTACAATGTACATCAATTATTCCCACCTCTTTTCTACAGTGCAAAAATGTGGGTACGTCTTACCTAACTTACATGGATCATTTTTTCGTTTCAAAATATTGGCATGACAAAAATTTATTTGAGAAATTAAATCAAAGAAAATTCATTTTGAAATTCTTAATACAGATTATTAAATTGTCAACCTGTCTGAACTAGTGGGGGCTGGAATAGGGCATTCCCCTTCAAACAACGTCCTCATACTACGTGCATGTTTTGTGAAATATATAAATTGTTACCCCCGGTGAAGGGCGGCGTCTGGACTCCTTATTATACAAAGGGTATCAAATTATTTATCTTAATTTATTTTCATAAAATATATGGATGCTATTCAATCCCACTATTATTATCATTAACTTCAATTATATCATTATCATATATATTATATTATTCAATGCCATTATACTCAGTCCCAGAGTAAAGACTACAACTTCTCATTTTGGCACCAGTATAAATTTACATCAATGTTTATATTTTGGTTTTATTATTTTCTTTACTCTACACAATACATAACTAGAGGTACGAGGGCTGTTCAATAAATAATGTCCTCGGTGCTGAGAAAGAAGCAAAAGACACTTTTCAATGATTTATTCTTCATGATTTTACTAATTAATCTCTTTTAAGTAAAGTACATGTCCGTAACATTTTTATCCAATTTCTGATTGTTTTTAGGACTCATTTTTGGGTATGACCCTTAGTATACTGGAAAATGGCAGATCCAATGATTTCCCGGACTTGTTTCTTCCTTCTGAAAGGTGTTTTTTCCAAGTTTGGAAATAGAAACAAGTCAAAAGGTTAAAGATCTGGCGTATATTGTTAATGTGAAAAAACATTAACTTTCTCTTTATCCCGAAAACCCCTTAACTCTTCAGGGCATGCGGGTTTGGACGCTGTCTTGAAGAAATTCAATGTAGTGGATTCCTGATTCTGGGTCCTTCCTCTAATAAACCTTTTGAAT